AGTGTCCGGAGGAGCTGCGGACCCGTGGTGACCTGACCTGACCTGACCTGATCTTGTGTATGGTCAGCTGCTGGAGTGTCCGGAGGGGCTGCGGACCCCGTGGTGACCTGACCTGACCTGACCTGATCTGTGTGTATGGTCAGCTGCTGGAGTGTCCGGAGGAGCTGCGGACCCCGTGGTGACCTGGCCTGACCTGACTTGATCTGTGTGTATGGTCAGCTGCTGGAGTGTCCGGAGGAGCTGCGGACCCGTGGTGACCTGACCTGACCTGACCTGATCTTTGTGTATGGTCAGCCGCTGGAGTGTCCGGAGGGGCTGCGGACCCCGTGATGACCTGACCTGACCTGACCTGATCTGTGTGTATGGTCAGCTGCTGGAGTGTCCGGAGGAGCTGCGGACCCGTGGTGACCTGACCTGACCTGACCTGATCTGTGTGTATGGTCAGCTGCTGGAGTGTCCGGAGGAGCTGCTGACCCGTGGTGACCTGACCTGACCTGACCTGATCTGTGTGTATGGTCAGCTGCTGGAGTGTCCGGAGGAGCTGCGGACCCGTGGTGACCTGACCTGACCTGACCTGATCTTTGGTATGGTCAGCCGCTGGAGTGTCCGGAGGAGCTGCGGACCCGTGGTGACCTGACCTGACCTGACCTGATCTGTGTGTATGGTCAGCTGCTGGAGTGTCCGGAGGAGCTGCGGACCCGTGGTGACCTGACCTGACCTGACCTGATTGTGTGTATGGTCAGCTGCTGGAGTGTCCCGAGGAGCTGCGGACCCGTGGTGACCTGACCTGACCTGACCTGATCTGTGTGTCTGGTCAGCTGCTGGAGTGTCCGGAGGAGCTGCGGACCCTGCCGGCGCAGGCGCTTCGTTTGACGCTGGCCGGCGTCTCCTCGGACCAGACCGACAAGCTGCTCGCCCGAGCTGACCAGATGGTGAGGCGCGCAGAACACGGCAGCCCGGCGGGGGATGGGGCGGGGGCATCTCAGCACGCTGTCAAGTGGCCAACGCTGCCCCGCATGCTGTGTGCGCGGATATGTGTCGTAAAGCGCACCTGTGTGCAGCACAGTATTTGTAAAAGTGTGGTTTTCAGCAGGCTTAGGCTTCTGAGTTGTGTGTGTCCGCGTGAAGGCTGTATTTTCTTCTGTGTGCGATAATTTTTCATCCATGATACGTGTATGCTTTCATTGATGACATGCTAAGCCATACATCCATGCGGAGTGTAACAACGTAAGCCACTCGACTCAGCAGGAACTAATCATGCATTGTCTTCGAGTCGCGCATCTGCTATTGAGCATCGAATCACTCTAACGGGATATCCGAATGATGGCCTTTTTTCTATTGAGGCCTGCATTCTGTGTCTAGCCGGATAGCTGTGATTTTTGTTTGTGAGCCGTGCTCGCGCTTGGTCCCGGCCGGCCTGACCTGACCTGACTCCGCTGCCGCGCCGGCCTGACCTGACCTGACCCCGCTTCCGCTCTGGCCTGACCTGACCTCGCTGCCGCGCCGGCCTGACGTCCTGACCCCGCTGCCGGCCTGACCTGACCTGACCCCGCTGCCGCGCCGACAGGAGCTGATTGCGCTGGTGGAGCGGACCGGGCCCGACTCGTTGGACGTGACCCTGCTGGATGGCGAGGTCAATATCAACCTCGAGCTGGGCGGCGCCGCGCCGGCGCCCGAGCCGCCGGCCGAGACGGCGCCGCCAGTCTGAGCCGAGCCCGCCGCCGTTGGAGCCGCCGCCGCCGTTGGAGCCGAGCCCGCCGCCTTCGGAACCGAGTCCGCCGCCGTCGGAGCCGCCGCCGCCGTCCCACCGCATCACCGTGTCGTTCGCCATCTCGCCGGACGAGTTCTACGTGCAGGACGCGATGGCGGCCGGCCAGCTGGACGCGCTGATGGAGCTGCTGGAGACCGCGTACAGCGCGCTGTCAGACGGCGAGCGGGCCGTGGCAGAGGTGAGCCGACCGGCCCCGGAGGCGCCGCCGGCTCCAGAGGCGCCAGCGGTTCTAGAGGTGTCAGCGGTCCTAGAGGCGTCAGCGGCCTTAGAGGCGTCGGGCGTCCTTGTGACCTGGCCAGCGCTCTGTGCGGTGGACAAATGCAGAGTTGGTGCTCACTGGACCCGATGATATGGAAGTCGTGTTGACGTGGCCGCGTAGGCGCTACATGGCCTAGATCGCAGCTCATCCCGCTACATGGCCTAGATCGCAGCTCATCCGCGCTACATGGCCTAAATCGCAGCTCATCCGCGCTACATGGCCTAGATCGCAGCTCATCTGCGCTACATGACCTAGATCACAGCTCATCCTCGCTACATGGCCTAGATCGCAGCTCATCCCGTTATATGACCTAGATCGCAGCTCATCCGCGCTACATGGCCTAGATCGCAGCTCATCCAAGACTTCATTCACCAACATTAGTTTGTCTCTCAGTATTAGGTGACGCGAATTGTGTTTTGGAGGTGACCGTTGCAATCTGGGTCCTCTGGGCGGGAGTATCACGGGAACACGAAGCTTGCCTTTTCAGCGTCCCGGGTGGAGCTGGTGATACGATGCCAAGCCTCGTCTAATGGCCAAAAATACCGGGCATTTGCGCGTGCTATTGCAAAGCCACGCCCCCAGCGTTGGCTACACTCGTGGTCAGGTTTCTTTCACGTGTTGGGCGATAGCGGAGCCTACATGTGGCCACGCGCCTGGAGCTCGCTGTGTTTGCCACTCGCCGTGTAAAGAGGCTGTGGAGTTCACTGTTGCCTTAGCTTCTCTCGGCGGCTGGGCTCATCACGACCGGTGGCGCGCCGAGCCCAGCTGTGACCGGCCGCGTCTCCTCTGGCGGCAGGTGGAGCCGGGTGACCTGGTGGCGGCGCCGTTCTCCGAGGACGCCGCCTTCTACCGGGCGCGTGTGCTGGCCGTGTCCGCGGACGCCGCCTCGCTCCACCTGCAGTTTGTGGACTACGGTAACAGGGAGTGGGCGGCGCGCGGCGCGTGCCGTCAGTTGACGCCCGCGCTGCTCGCGCCCGCGCCGTTCGCGCAGCAGTGCCGGCTGGCGGCGCGGCCGGCCGCCGGCGCCTCCGGCTGGAGCGCGGCCGCCACCGAGGCATTCGAGGCGCTGGTGGGACTGGCCGAGGCCCAGCTGACGCTGACGCCGGAGTCCGACGGCGACGCCGTCTGGACGGTGCGGCTGATGATGTGCCGGGGAGGACGTGGCGGCGGCGCTGACGGCGGCCGGTCACGCTCAGGCAGCGGAGGACCCGGCGCCGGCCGCCGCCGCCGCCGGTCTGGCCAGTTGATACCTGGTCAGGTGGCCGCAGCCGTCGTAGCCTTCTCGCTGAGCCCAACTGACTTCTGGGCACAGCTGCTGGCCGACTCGGACCGGCTGGACCACGCTCATGGCCGGCATAGAGGCGCTGGAAGGCGAGCTGACGGTCGAGGTTGGCCCGGTGGCCGGCCAGCTCGCCATCGTGCGCTACGCCGAGGACGGCGCTCTGTACCCGCCCGTCTCCTCACGCAACCCGAGCAGGGCAGCTGCAGCGTGCTCTTCATCGACTACGGCAACCACGGAGACGGTGCCGCCGCCGAGCTGATGGGTGCGTGCCCGGCGCCGGTCGCCGCCGAACCGCCGCTGGCCTCCCCACTGCGCGCTGATGCTCCGGCCGCGCGCCTGGACGGGCGCCGCGCTGGAGCGGTTCGCCGAGCTGGCCGGCGTGGCGACGAGCACGCAGAGCTGGAGCTGGAAGTGCTCCGAGCCGGCGACCCGGCGCTGGTGGCGCTGCGGCGTGGCGGCGTCGACCTAGCCGCGGAGCTGGAGGAGGCCGGCCTCGCCAACGCCGTCGGGTGAGGGCGGCGGCGGGCCGGTGGCCGACGAGGCGGACAGCGCCCGCCAGCACGACACCAGTGCCGTCTGCGAGGGAGCCGCGGCTTTTCCGGCGGCGGGGTGGGGCGAGAAGACCGGAGAGACGGAGGAGACGCACCTTGCCACGCCCCAGCACAGCGGCATGCCGGCGCTGCTGGAGGACCCGGGCGAAGCACGCCGTGTTCGTGTCGCCACATCAACTCGCCGCTGGACTTTTACGTCCACTCGCCCGACTCGGCGCTGTTGGACGACCTGATGGAGCGGTTGGCGGCCGCCGGGCCGGCGCTGCTGCCCGCCTCCGAGCCGCGGCCGGGGGACCTGGTCGCGGCCTCCTTCTCCGAAGACGGTGCGCTGTACCGGACGCGCGTGCTTTCGCTCGCCGGCGACCGGGCGCGCGTGCCTGTTCATCGACTACGGCAATGACGAGACGGTTTGCCGCTGGCTGCGCTGCGGCGCTTGCCGACGGCGCTGGCGGGCCCTCCTCCGCAGGCGCTCCGTTGCCGCCTGGCCGTGTGCGCGTGCGCCGCCGCCGCGGCCGAGCGGCTGCGCCAGCTGACAGAAGACGGCGCGGCGCTGACCCTGCTGGAGTGGTGCACCGACGCGGTCGGCCCGTGGCCGAGGTGCGGCTGGCGGCCGGCGGCGGGGACGCGGCAGCGGCGCTCGCGGCCGCCGGCCTCTGCCTACTGTCGCGGCGGCCGTCGCTGCCGCCGCCGCAGCTGCCGGCCGCTCGGTGTTGACACGGCCGTCCGGCTGACGCACGCCGAGGACGCCCAGGTGGTGTACCTGCGCCTCGCTAAGGACGACACGGTGCTGCTGGCCGCTGGGCGACCTGACGGACCTGCTGTACGCCGACCCGGTGCCGGCGCTGTGCGGCGCCGGCCGTCGGCGACCTCTGTGTACTCCGGCCGGTGGCTGCCGATGGCTGGCAGCGCGCGCGCGTGTTGGCTGTGGACGCGGCGGCCGGCGCGGCGCGCCTCCGCTTGGTTGACAGCGGCGCAACGCTGCGCGCTCCGCTCTCAACGCTTGCTACAGCTGCTGCCGAGCGTGGCACTGCCGCCGCCGCTGGCGCTGCGCTGGCCGCCTGTCGGCGCCGCTGCCCGGCCCCGCTGAGACGGCCCGCCGCCCGGCTCAGCGAGCTGTGCGCGGCCGCCGCCGACCGGTTAACGGCCCGGCTCGAGACCGACGACGACGGACTGTGCGCGCAGCTCGCGCTCAACGGCCAGCCGGCAGGTGATCTGTTGGCTGGTGATGGCACCGCGCCGGCCGGTGGTGACACCGCGTCGGCCTATGGTGACACCGCACCGGCCGGTGATGACACCGCGCCGACCGGTGATGACACCGCGTCGGCTGTGGGTGATACCGCGTTGGCCGGTGGTGACACCACGCCGCCTGTGGGTGACACCGCGTCGGCCGGTGGCGACACCGTGCCGGCGCCGCGGCCGGGCACCCGACGCGGCCGAGACGAAAAGATTGTGCCCGGACAGATATCGTTCTGCTTGATCTCAGACGTAGAGTGCTCTGGAGAGGGTGCGCACCGAAGCGAGCCTGCCGTCCAGCTGGACGAGACGAGCGGGTCTGCCCCCAGTCGGAGGTGGCTGACGAGTCCGCTGTCCAGCTAGGGGCGTTGATGAGTCGGCCCGCGCCGCCTTGGAAGCGACAGGGCAAGTCTGTCGATGGCCCGATAAATGGGCAGAAGATGCCGGCCGTCCGGAATGGTGGCGACGGGCGGGGCGGCGTGGCGACGCCAGTTCGCGGATGGCGGCTCAGCTGGGAGTCGAAGATCGTGCCAGGCCAGATATCGTTCAGTCTGCTGACGGAGCCGCTGGACGAGACGGCCAGCCCGGAGTTGGGCCTAACCGGCGGCTCGGCTCTGACCGACGACTCAGGTCTGACCGGCGACTCGGCCCGGGGGCGGGCGTCGGGAGTGAGCGCCGGGCGGACAAGTTTGTCAGAAGACACCGGCAGGGCGACGGGGATAAGCACTGAATCAGTGGCAACGGAACAGGCGGCCGTGGAACCGGCGGCCGAGAGAACCAGCGCGCGACCAGCGGAGGAGAAACAGGACTTGGGGGCTGTGGAGGACAAAGCCGGCATGAGACCGGTGGAGAAGGCGGACCCCGAGTCAGCAGACGTGAAGACCGACTTGGAGCCCGCGGAAGGCAAGCAGAACCTGGAGCCGGAGGACGAGAAAACCACCGCGGGAGCAGGGGAAGAGAAACTAGACATGGAGACGGAGGGTGGGGCAGTGGGTGGTAAGGTGACGGGGGGCAGAGTCGACTTGGACATGTCAGTGGCCCCAGTGCTGACGAGTGGGAACAGCATGACCGTGACAGCAGAGAACGCAGTGATGGTGGGTGCAAGCTCCGCGAAGCCAGAGAAAGTAGGGAAACGGACAAATCTCGAGATTATCCTTGAAGCTGAGGAAGGAGTTCATGAAGAGGCTGAAGAAGAGGAGTCTGAGGCAGTAAACAAAAGTGAGTTGGATAAAGTTAAGGGCATGGGAAGCATCGAGCTGGCTTTGGTCCGTGAGTTTGAAATGACTGTGAACGACATCGATCTCAAGGTAACGGAGGAGGACGCGGTGCTTGAAGCCGCGAAATGGCGAGTTGAATGCGAGATAGCGGAAGAGTCTCATCTCGTGGTAACTGACGAAGGCGAACTCCAGGGAACAACAGCGACGCGGATCGCGAAGTTAGGGATGACAGAGGAGTGTTCCACCCTAGATGTCGCAGAAGGGGAAGCAGCAGAGGTTGAGGCACCTGATGAAGTCCAGTTTGAGGTCGTGACGGAAGAGACACCCACCAGCGAAGAGGAACAGGGTCTGGAGGACATGATGGGCGCCGACCGCTGCCCCAGTGATGATGACATCTTGCTGCCCAGCGGGTGTACGCTATCACCTGGCGATTGTCTGTCTGCCGGCATCGTGGAGATGTGTGAAGACGTTGCGGAGCAGCTGGAGGAGACACTGACTGCGGATCAGGCTAGCGCAAGCCCCCGAACGCAGCCGTCGCCGGGAAAGCCCGGTGGTGATGTCTGCGCCGAGACCCGGTCCGCTCCGAGGGCCGATGGAGAGAGGCGCGGGAGCGCCGCGACTCCTCTCGGCGATGGTGCCGATCGAGCGGAGACGAGTGACGAGGGAGCGGCTCCGGAAGGGGATGACGCGGAGGAGGCGTCAGTGGGTGCGGCGCACCATGCCTCGGCCGGTGGCGCTGCCACCGACGCCGGTTCAGCGGGTGACGAGATACCTCAGGAAGTGGAAGCCGTCGCAGAGATGCGATCTTCCGACGAAGCACTAGTCATCGACGAGGCTGTTGAGGAGATGTGCGCAAGGCTTTGCGAGTTACTGATCCAGGTAGAGTCACACTCTGCCGATGAGGCAAGGCCTCAAGAGTCGACGGTCGGAGGTGCCTGTCGGCTGCCGGACGACGCGGCTGGGCGCGACACCGCCGGTGCCGGTGACGCGCGGCAGGAACTCGTCCCGAAGCTCCCGCCGGCGGGCGACGGTCGGCGGGAGGCGGCGGGTGCCGCGGGCCCGGCCGGCAGCGACTCTGCGCCGGCGGCTGGCCCCGGCGGCGACGAGCCGGCTCAGGGCGCGTCCCGGCCTTCCGCCCCGGCCGTCGCCGCCGCCGCCCAGCCGTAGCCGCCGCTCCGGCGGACCGCGTAGACGCACGGATCGGCGCTGGAGTCTGGTGGGAGGTCGGGGTGAGCCTGACAGTGATACAGCTGTGAGGTATGTAAGGCCCGATGGCATGTAGTCAAGTTCCTGAGCGGTATTCAAGGCGTTTTGTTAGTCAAGAATGACCATTTTTGTCCTTGCGTTTGTGGTAGTTTTGTGTAAAGTACAATGCGTGACGTATCTGCTGTGGGGTAGATGCGGCGCTTCAGGGCGGGAAGTGCAAAGACGAAACCTGTACTCTGACAAGGCTGTTAACCAAGATTTGTATTTTGTTAATAAAAAACTTTCTACTACAAGCTCTTCCGCGTTGACGGAATGTGTTGAATCTCGGGGGGCATCGGTATGTCGGGATGGTCCGGGTGTAGCGCCCGGGCGTTCGCCGCGCACAGATACAACCCACCGAGCGAGTGGGAAAGATCACCTGGCCAAGATCTGCCGTGCGGAGATGAAACACGGCCGCCACATATTTGTTCATTGAGCGGCTGGTGCTCGATTTCCGGCCGGCTTGAAGCGTGGCTCTGCCGTTTATGCTTCCAGTGCGTATCCGTTACTCGTGTCGTTATTTGTAGTTGCTTCGCGGCAGGGCGCTTGCGCCTCGTGGCTGAAAGAAGTCACTCCAACGTTATCGCTTTGGAAGTGACTCGAACGACATTTGTTCCCCCGCCCCCTGGCTGTCTCACAATTACCACCGAGGATTGTGGTGGAGTACCTGGTAAGTACTCGGGAATCTCGCTGTTCTCCTGGCACCTGATCCTTAGCGCGGGCTCCCTACCCTGTTCCCTCGGCCTGCGATGCTGCTGCCTCCCTGGCCGCCATTTCCGCCTCTCTGGCCGCCAGCTCCGCCTCCTCGGCCGCCTCTTCCGCCTTCCGGGCCGCCCTCCTCGGCTTTCCTCGCCGCCTGCTCCTGCTGCTGTCGCAGGTGGTCCGTGTAGGTCAGCTCGTGCGCGAACAGCCGCGAGCACATCCAGGCGGCGCGGGCGGCGCCGCCGCCGGCGTACGGCGGCAGCGGCGCTGGCTCGCCCGGCCAGTTCCAGCGCCAGCCGCGGCAGCGGGCCACCCAGTGGCGCACGCGCTGGCGCAGCGCCACCAGTCCGCTCCGCACGTGCGCCACGCCGTACTCGCGCAGCGCCTCGCGGAGCAGGCGGTGGAAGTGGGAGTAGAGGGCGCCGTCGGCGGCCAGGTGGTGGCGCAGTTGTCGCCGCAGCGTCAGGTTGTGCGCGGCGGCTGAACGCAGGGACGGCGGCCTCACATTGTGTCGGAACGCCACCACGTCGTCCCAGTCGAGGCAGAAGCGGTAGCGCATCAGCACCAGCGACTCGTCCAGCAGGTCGGTGATCATGACCAGGTGGAAGCGGCGCTGCACGTCCTCCAGCATCGCCTCCTGCAGCTGGTCGTCGGCCTGCAGCGCCGCCACGTCGTAGCCGAGGTCAAAGGACATCTGGTTGGGGAAGAAGTGAGATGCGAAGGCGGTGGCGGGCAGGAGGTCTGTGGGCGCCGCGGCGAACTCGGCCAGCGACATGTTCCACACGTCCTGCAGGTTGTAGTACTCGAACATGGAGATGAACTGGTCGACGGGTCTGCGCATGACGGTCACCCAGACCGCGTCCGGGCCGACCACCTGCCGGCGGACCGTCGGCCGGATCAGGTCGGGGGTCACTACAGGTCAGATGTTATCAGGTCGGAACGATGCTCACCCGGGGTCAGACCGGGAGGCGAAATTAAGTCAGATTGACATCCAGTCTAAACTGAGATCGGGCCTCAATCCAGGATGAGAGTGGGGTTCGGATTACAGTCACATGCAACGCCACCGCTGAAAACTTCGAGCGTTTTCATAATATATTCCAGCGAATGTTTGCTATTGTTTTTTAACTATGAGCTCACACTGTGCTGAAAAACATTTTATTAAGAGAGCTGACCGCGTGATCCTGGGACCGGCGGCCGTGCATTGGTGGGGCCCGGGTCGGGCGGCTGCCCCGGCCGTGGCGCCACTCCCACCGTCGAGCACGCCGTGTTCCGCCGTGCTGCGCGGGGCGGCGTCGGCGCCGGGCGCAGGCACACCGTGGGTCGGTGCGTGGCTATGTGTACGCATGAGCCCGTGGGCGAAACCTTGCGTTGTGAGTGATAAATCAGTATGAGCAAATTGTTATTAGAGCTAGGATGGTTGTTCCTGGGACATAGACGTTATCGGCGGGCGTCTCATGGAGGACGCGGGGTTCCTCTGAGACGCAACTCAACAGTCAACGGTTAAAGCAGCTGAGTTATGTCCTTGGCTCAAAATGTGTCTCCAGCTTTATTTGTGTTAACCTGGCCACAATAATTGACACGCAAATGGTCCCAGCAGATGTACTGGAAGTTTGAAACTTGTTTTTAACTGTGATGTGCTATCAGCGGGCAGGAGGGCCAGCCCAAGCCGCCCTCCCACCGCCCCAGTTGGCCCAAGAATGGCAACAATGACGGTTTTGAACTTTGAAAAAATGTAGGCAACTTGCATCAAAGGAACCCTGCTGTAGCATTATCTCAAAGATGAAACAAAACGACGCCCGCCAAAATTCTGAGAATCAGGATACTTGGTTGGATTTTCTTCTCTGAAAGCTGTCTGTTTCCTCCCAGAGACAATGTTTCGGACCCGCCCTTATTGCCAGGCCGCGAAAACCAGCATTAGCAGTGGACCGCGCCAGACTCGTGGCTTCTCGGCACCGCGTATGTCCGCCGGTGATTGCAAACGGCGCGACTACCGTTTTTCTATTATGTTGACTTTATCTTTGCCTGGGAATTTGAACTTAGATTGCCCGATCACAAAAGTCCTTAAAACTATGACCATACTAAAGCCTAAAACGCCCATGTCCCTGAGCTTGCATGAAATTTGTCTGCCGCACTACTTCACATAGACTGTTCATGCCGTTGATATGATGCTGAATGACAACGCGGACGGCCTGATCTTCTACGCAGCTACCGGTGAATGATTCCCGGAGAGGGACGATCCGCGGAACGCGATGAGCTTGGCTGAATCCCTCTTTCGAAAACTGATTATGCTTCAAGCGCTTTTTGATGTAAATAAATAGCACTTTGAGCTGTAACATCGCGAATCCTCGACCACAAGTGTATCTGGAATTACTGATGAAAGGCAGAGCAACGTGCAAATCAACCATTAAAAGGCATGAAAATATTCAATGGTTCCAGCGGCGGCCATGGTCACGAGACCTTGAGTACATTTTCCGTGGTGCTCATTACTCGTGGCCGGGCCTGTGCTTCACTCAGCTTCAGCGGAACCGATTCCGACTTACTCGCAGCGACCGATTTCTACCGATTCGAGCAGTTAAGTGCAGCATTGAGTGGACTCAAATTTCGACTCAAGAAGATCTGACTTCATTTCCTTATTTTACTCCGATGGATTCAGATGTGCTGGATGTGTTTTGATTCCTGAATGCTGGAAATAACCACCCTTCTGTGTAGCATGACCAGGAGATGTTGTTTAATACACGACAGGTGATCCATGAAATGTTTCCTGAAAATGCTCGAAAATATTTGCCTTGTCCAGCAGTGCACATAGGCGCGAGCAACTCTGTACCGGACTGGGCGGAGTTAAAATCAACCTCAGAATCAGAAAAATGTGCTGGCCTCGGGCCTCACTAATAACTATAAAATATACAAGATCCGAGGGTCCTGTCGAAAAAGTTATTCGGCTATGTTAGTTAAAGTGTGACATCTAGTTCTGAGCCATGTGCCTACTTGGGATTGTTTGTCCGAGCATGCTTTGCCAACCGCACTATTCATGTGAGGAATTCAACTAGGTTATGTTTTGCTAGCCTCGTTTCTCCCTTTGGAAGAAGATGCATGGGAAATATTTTTGGTACTCCTAATCGAATGCATTTAACCCTGTTTCAGACAGGAAGGGTAGATTTTAACTCGCCCAACCCCGTCGGGCCTTGTGCTGTTTTCTCAGAGACGGTTTCGAGCGGGTGTTTTGAAACCCGCTTCCCGTTTTGGGAGGGGCTTCCCGATGGTAATATATATATATATATATATATATATATATATATATATATATATGTAAATATATATGTAGGTATGTAATTAGAACTATACATATATATATATATATATATATATATATATATATATATGCAATATGTAATATTGCAATATGGGGACGGCTTCAGGATTCAAGAGGAAGGGTCCCCAAACCGTGTCATAATACATTATGGGTAGCAGACATAGACTGTGCAGGCATATGTGGGACGCCAGTGCAGAGATATGCGGCATGCTTCTCGGTATCTAGATGTAGAGACTTGCACCTCCGCCAATATTTACTCGAATGCTTGATAAATATGACAATGTCGTGTTCTCCTTGCGTCAGAGGAAGCCGAACAACAAAGACTCGAAGTCAGACCAGCACCAAGGTGTTGTGAACAGATGGCGTCGAAAAATGTATACACATCTGCAGAAGCAACAAAAACAAAACAAAAACAAAAGCGCAGAGGCACCTCCAGGAATGAGAGAAAGGGATTGATACCATCTGAAGCATGCAGGTCTTACACTGCATGCTGTGTTTTTCTTTCTCTTCTGTGCAGTAAACAGCATCTGAAACTTCAAAGGCGAGTCCAGGAACGACAAAAGTGGGGACCACAGTGGAGGGAGGCCGCAGCCACCAGCAGCGTGGCATCAGCTGTTGACAGCAGCCTTGGGCATACTTCAACGATATGTCCCCACTGAACTGCATATTTCGTTGACAGAAATCAAACGCCGTGTAGTTTTTCGTCATCGGCTCAGTAGTTCCCGATATTTCCCGTGAGAACGGGACCCCTCCCGCTTGTCCTGAATAGCATTCACGGAACCCTCCCGGAATAGAGTCAAATGCGTCAAGGCACGTGGGTGCCGTCAGATCTGGAAATGGGCAACACCGAGCCCTGCACAGCCCGGAGCAGAGTTCTCGGCTAATGCAATCGGAACCCATGTCCCCTTTTGACGTGGTCTCCGCCTCCGGCCGAACAAATAATGATCAGAGTGCCGACTGGGAGTCGCCGGGCCGAGGCTGGCCTGGGAGGCCCCGCCACGATGCAGTGCGCCAGCCTGGGAGCACCTGCGCAGTGGCTGTGGCCGGTTTGGTTGGCACTGGGTCAGTGGCCGTGGCCGAGCCGTGGCCGATCTGGAAAACCCTGAGCAGAGGCCGCGGCCGAGCCGTGGCCGGTTTTGGGGGGCCATGCGCAATGGCCGCGGCCGAACCGTGACCGGTATGTGAGGGCCTGAGCAGTGGCCGTGGCCGAGCCGTGGCCGTTTTGGGAAGCCGTGCGCAGTGGTCGTGGCCCAGCCGTGTACGGTCTGGAGGGGGGGGGGGGGGGGGGAGCTGGCCCAGTGAACGTTAGCAACACACGTGCTGGCCGTGACAGGTGGCGGGAGACTGTCAGGTCAGGGTATCGGTGGCAGGAGGCGGGCAGGTCAGTCGATCACCAAGGGATCTGGCGGAAGGCAGGCAAGTTAGGGGATCAGTAGTGGGAGGCGGGCAGGTCAGGGGATTGGTGACGGAAGGTGGACAGGTCAGTCGATCACCAGGGGATCTGACGGAAGGCAGGCAAGTCAAGGGATCAGTGGCGGGAGGCGGGCAGGTCAGGGAATCAGTGGAGGGAGGCGGGCAAATCAGGGGATTGGTGGTGGAAGGCGGACAAATCAAGGGATCGGTGGGGGAGGCGGGCAAGTCAGGGGATCTGGCGGGAGGCAGGCAAGTCAGGGGATCAGCGGCGGGAAGCGGGCAGGTCAGGGGATTAGTGGCGGAAGGCGGGCAGGTCAGGGGTTCTGGCGGAAAGCGGGCAGGCCAGGGGATCGCTGGCGGGAGGCGGGCAGGTTAGCGGATCGGCGGCGGTGTGACGGCCGGTCGCGACAGCCGGCAGACGCGCGCGGTGCCCTTGGCCACCGTCCTCGTGTTGGTCGGTCGCCACGCCGCTTCTCGAGAACTCGGCCGACCGCTGCAGCGTTCGCTAGAAATGCAAAGGCGGCTCCTGCAGGACCAGTGCGCAGTAGAGAAGCCGGTCAACGCGGCACGAACTTATGAACGGGGCGCCGCTGGAAGCCGTCGGGGCCGCCGTTCCGAGAATTGCTCGTGACGTCCGAGGATAAAAGGTTCTGACATTCTCTGTTGGCAAGGTCGGAGAGAGGATCGCGCGTTCGGCTCGGTGTCTTACCATGTTGCCATGGTCGCGTGTGTGCCACCCAAAGGTATGAGACTTGAAAATACATGTTTTTCCGAAGAAGGTGGAATGAAAAATGGCGTTAGCCTGATACATCAAACGGTTGAAAGAAAGAAGGATATTTTTGGATTGATGATACTTAGTTTGTTCTTAATAGTAATTTTTATTAGCAACAAGTAATGTTTGATGCAGTATATACCGTTATTGTTAGTGACAGAGTACAGTGAGCATAAGCTTAGCCTTTTTTCTGATGGCTTTTGGTGCCCAGGAGCCTTCTTCAATTCACACAATTTTTGAAGGAACTTTGAGAGCGCCTAACGAGTTGAGATGGCTTACAAGGTCGTCGGAACTTATACTTCATCAACTATGAAATCAGCAATTATTCGGAAAAGGTAGCAGAAGAAGGATACCTACGAGATATTAGCGAAAACACCGGCAGAAAACCTGCGCCACAGCCAGAGCTCAATATCATATTTGATCGGGGTTTTGCAGCCGGCTGGTAGAGGTTAGGGGTCACACAACAAGCACTGCTTAGCTTGAGCTCCGAGCCCAGAAATCCATTCACTTAAAAGGTTCGGATGACATCTGAGTAAACATTTGCAAAAAAAAAAAAAATGGTCCGGTCGCTCCAACATGTGCAAAACTCACGGCGCGGCCACAGTGATTCCTCGCCATGGCTGCTCAGGAGGCGCGTGGTCGGGCAATACCCCTGGGTGGAGCGCATCAGCTGACCTTGGTGACCTGCGCCGGGTCGAGCCTCATGTGGTGCAGCAGCAGGCGGTAGGTGGCGTTGTCGGCGCCTGCCGACCGGTGCACCATGTTCGCCCTGAAGCGCTGCGGGTGGCCGAAGTAGTTGCCCCGCCGCGGCAGGGCCAGCTGCAGCCGCTGCTGCTCGCCCAGCCGCAGCAGAATGTTCTGCACGCTGCTGCTGGCACACTTATGCAACTTCAGGAAGAAGACGGCGCTCGGTTTTTGGCAGACTGGTTCCTCCCTGCGCGACAACAGGCACCTGATGTGTCAGCCGAGGGGCTGCTCTTACGAACGGTGGTTTTATCACCAGCAATGGCTATGCAACTTCGCGGCCATTTCTTGGAGTATTGTTACAAATGCTTACATTTTCGACAGTTGTCTGGGTTAGGAAGTATTTTCTGAAAAAAATATTATCTAACGCATTAACATTTGAATTCCGCATTTATTTGAGGGCGTGTTCGCGTTCGAAACCAGTATCAAGATCCGATTTCACCTAAAACGCGTTCCCACTTCTTGCAAAAATGAGATCTGTTCTGCTTATCTCTTACAGCTTGGTCTCCAGACCGCAAAGAAGGAAGTCGAGCGGCATCATTAGTCTGGAGTGAAGTTTCGCAAAAAAGTCAGGGATGGATGTGAGCGGAAAATGTCCAAACCTTCTAACAAAGGACAGGAGAATCAGGTTTCTGCCAGGATTTGACCTACATCCTTCTCAGATTTAAGGCACCGCAGCCTACCTCGCGTACTGAATGGGGAAGTATATCCCTTTCATTGCCACATGAAATCAAGCAGCAAAAATATGGTCTTGCTTGTGATCCAGCTATGCATCCGTTGGTTACTTGGAAAGGTCAACGTACTTATACTTTTGAAATTAGCTTACTTTTCTTATTTTCGATATCATGCTCAGGTATTAGTACCTACATATGTGCTTGTTTTGTGCACAGTGTACTCACATTATGCACACATATTTGCACAGTGAACTCAGCATCAATGGTCCTTTTGAATGCTTTCTCGATAAATATGGAAATAGTTTTAATTCTTTGCGGATGTTCGCCCAAAATGGTTCAAAGGCTCATCATACAAAGCATCTATAATTTGTCATAGTGTGTGGCCTGATGTCACTCATGTTTATCGTTGGACGTTTTCTAGAGTGACGGTTTTAGATGTAAGAGCAGATTTGTAAAAATCAAGTTATCATGGACTTCATCCAATTACATCGATATATATATATATATATATATATATATATATATATGCATGCATATGTTATGAGGTATTATATATATATATATATATATATATATATATATATATATATATAATTAGAATGTGAAATGCTCGTCATTAGATCATCGGACTGCTAAGCTGAATGCAAGGTCGCATACTTTTGCGTGTTGCGAAACGCCAGTATTGATCTCGTCCGAATGCATATTCCAAACCCTTCCCTCGAAAAAATGCAATGCTCCTCAGCTGAGCCAGAGCCTATTTTAGGATCAAATGACTGGGAGGGCAAAAAAAAAAATGCTAGGCCAATCGAATTCCAGGTAAAGGTAACATCAAAGCAAAACATGAGTGTTTCACCGACCTTGGCATCATGCCGACAGTTCCACACAGCTTTCATTGTTCAGATTTGTTAAGTCAAAGCCAAGTTAACTTTGTTAGAGCCAAGTTTTGTCAATTGCAATGTCGAGTTGTACAATATTTCTGTACTAGTTCTTGGCTCAAATTAGGATGTCATAAACTGCATTATTCACAAAGATGTGCGCCTGTCTATATGCCCGTCCTTCTGTTTGTCGTCTTTTGCTAGTTGGCCCATGTGCAGGTCAGACAGGGTGCAGCAAGAGCCTGACCTTTCCACAGCACGCAAGTACGGCGTGGCGTGTACACACGCGTGCTAATGACTCGCTGCGGAGATTGACAAGCGCAATACGCTGGTGGGAGGGCCTATTTTTAAGCTCACCCGGTTACCAGAAATCGCGCACGTGGGTTAAGCAAGTTACGCGGTAGTCAAGCCGTTGAAATGATGTCCATTTTTTTGGGCGAGCAACCATGAATCCTGGGATCTCTATTTGAAGGAGGAACCGTTTTACGTAAAATAGCCCCAGTGCGAGAATGAAGGGTCGCGGATTGGGAGTGATCGTAGGAATTGCGTGTCTAGATACTTTGCAGCGATGCTTGACGCTATCGGAGATGTCGCAGCAATGAGTATTCGACGAACTATGAATAGTGGACCAGACTGTCGCCGTGCAGTATCGAAGTGCCGACTTAGACGCGCTCACAGCAGGATATCAGCTGGCGCGTTTTTGGTCGTGGCGAACTCGGCGCCGGAGGCACGATTTTAGCCTCATTAACTGCTAGAGGCAAGCGCCAATCACTGTGCGTAGAGACTGGTCGTAAGAACAAAGATGCCCTCGGGAGCAAGTGTCCTCGTCGCCAAGTATATGGCATGGATCAAGATTACGAGACTAAACGTTGACAGCAAAAAATTAGTGCGAAGTACAAATACAGTGCAAATGAGATCAAAGACACGCAATTTTGTTTTACGACAGGCGAGAAATTTTGCGCGCCTGCGACACTCTGAATGCGGTTTTTGCGAAAACTTTTTGTGCTGTACACGCCCATGCACCGCCCCGCCCCTCCTACTATGAAATCTGCGCACGCCCATGCACGGAGACATGTCTCGAAGAACTCACTTAAAATAGGATCGAATGGTGATATAGCCAAAACCACACAATTTATATGATCTAAAGAACGCTGACTTCTTGGAACGCATATACGTGTCCCAAGGAGCCATAGGAGTAAGTTGTTTATTTGGAGCCATTGCAAAATCAGGATAGCATGACCGCGTTATGTCGCACACCACCTATACGTAGGTGAACACGGGCTATTTACGTAATTTGTCAAATGGATGTGCATGTTCAAAAAATCTAAACTTCACCACGTTGTGTGTGCATGTGTGTGTTTGTGTGTGTGCGTGCGTACGCGCGTGCGTGCGTGCGTGCGTGTGTGTATGGGGGGGGGGAGTGGATGTGGGTGGGTGTGTTTAATAATGGTGGTTCAGCGGCGCATCACGCAACCAAAGAGAGCAGTCCCGGGCGGTGGAAGAGGGACAGGGTACACATGGGAACCTGCGCCATCATCTTCTTCACCCCCAGGAAAAGTCGCAGTAACAAGTGATGCGTGAGTGTCGTAAGAGCAGTCCGCTTTATTCAAAATCTCAAAGTATCACATGAGCGCTATGACGTTGCCTGGAAAGAGCCGAGGGACAATTACATTTGCCTCCTCAGCTTCTCAGAGCTGTAAGATGCATTCGGGCGTAAGCCACCGGTAAAGCAAGGTTTCTGCTAGGGGGGGGGGGGATTTTTGCAATTTATCATCGGGCCTTGAGCGGTTATTGGTGGGGACACCGTCCCCTCAATTAATATGTTAAAATAGGCTCTAAGTCAAACAGATCTGGATGCTTTAGGTACAGGGGCAGACCCTGCGCTATGTCCAGAATCTGACACCCTGGGGAAACTGATAACCCGCTTATTAATGTCATGTAGGTGCTGAATGGCGCTGAAAGTGTATCAATGCATTGTCACAGCAGCCATGCGAGCGCAGGGACTGCGTCGGTGGTGACAATGTAGGTCACCATTAAGGAAATTGGTACCGGCGATAGGGATCGCAGGTCACGCTTTCATGGACGATCAATGGCGACCATGCCAAGGTCACGTCACGTGACCTGTTGGGTCGGGTGTGGCCCAGTTACGAGTTCTTGCACGCAATGCATGCGTATCTGCATGGTCACGTTCTCAGGGAGCTGTACGCCGTCTGGCCAACAAAATAAATAATAAAGCCGCTTTGCGGCAACATGTCAGGACTTTGAGCGTGCATATTCGGGAACCCATATGGACGGCATGCAAATGAACTAAGAGCACACATAATAGATGAAATAGGATGAGAGCATGATCACCACTGATCTGACCCGATGGAATACAATCTTGCGGCGACCCGTTGGAAGTGGTCTGACACCCGCCGCTCTCACGTCTGATGTCTGGATTAGAGCATGGCTCCGACGCTTTAAGAAGAGGTGGGATAACACAGCAAGTGATTCGCCTAATTGCATGGTGGGCGGACAATGCAAATTGTTTCGCCACGAATTACGTCAACAGCACCTATCAGACTTAACCTTCAAATGTGGCAACTTCAACCACATTCATCGCTGTATCACGAATTGAGGAAAGTTAATCTCTGTGAATGAATATGTGAACATGCAGTCGTGTTCTACGCGGCACCAATGCGTTGATAGCCTTAAAAGCCAGTTGGGAGGTGAGGCATAGTCTCACCAATTACTGCGAAAACCTCCCCCCCCCCCCACACACACTCCCTCATTTGCTTGGGCTTTGACCTTCGGGGAGCTATAAGGATGGAATACAAGTTAAGTATTGTAAAGCCGGCTTTGATGGAAAAATAATGTCTCTATAGCGTGAAGTTAGATGGCTGCATCCGCAGCAACCAGTAGACTAGGCCGCTTCTTGGAACTCACTCGGCGATCCATAAACTCCAGTCCTCCAGTCGTAGTGCGTAGAAGGCCGTTATGACGAGCACGGTCGCTGAAAGCAGGCACAGCACCCCGGGGCAGATTCTCATAGTTCTTGGCTCGCTAACGTGAGCCGTCCCTCGTAGCTAGAGAGTCACACTTCTAAGCAAATTGATAAACTGGCTTTAAGGGACATGCAAGTGAGTTCTACAGCAACAGAATTGTTGGCCTATGATTGGGATGCCAGGTGTTAAACTTAAATCACCAGACTAACGTAAGCATGATTGGAAATAAAGGCAAGTTTTCGGACAGTTAGCGGGGTTGAGTTTGCTGTTAGAAAGTTGACTAGTGAGTAATGCACGGGCTCAACAGGTACTGAACACCTGCGAGTTTTATCGATTGTAGTTATAAGAGGTACAGCGATGTATACAAGCGTTAAAACCGAGCTGGTTCACAGCACAGATCAGCAAAACGCGGCTTTTTGGCAGACACTGAGTGGTGTTTTCCACGGCTAGTTTAAAAACAGCGGCATTTAACATCGCGCAGAAAAGTGCATCGCTTCAAGTAATTCAGGAGTGTGGTGTTACGAATGTTTGCCATAGGAGAGCTCTTATGCAATCATGATTAGAGCATTCGTGTCAGCCTTCCTGGGCGTGAAAACAGG